CGTCTTCGCGGAGCTCTGTGCCTGTTCGAGCTCCTCCGCGGGAGGGTGGTGTGGGTGGGGGGGCGACGATGAAGACTACGACGACGACGACGAAAAAGTATCCCTTGCAGCCCCTGTACCCCCCCCCCCGTTTCAAGGAACCGCAGAGCTGGATTCAGGGGCGTCCTCTTCCTGCTTCTCCAGGAGGGTAGGATCAGTCAGCATCCAATCGGGAAATCGGATCGCACCAAAGTGTGCGTCGAATCGGGCCGCATCGTCACGGAGTCGGAAAACAAACGGTTCGACCACGCCAAAATGCACAACAATACCATGCGAATATCGGGCCGCGTCGGATCGTCGGAATCTCAAACTCGAATCGGATCGAAATGGGATCGAATCGGGATCGAGCTGAACGAAATCGGCATCGCATGGGATCGATCGAATATGCCCAGGAGGAGGTAAGAGGAGGAAGGGAGACGAAGAGAGGATGGGGGGGGGTCAAGGGTGTTTGGGGGCACTCTGGAGGGATCGTGGGGGCTCGTCCTTCCTCATCATCCTACCCCTACTCCTCAGTCCCCCTATCTCCACTGCTCATCATCATCATCATAATCATCATCATCATCATCATCATCATCATCATCATCATCATAATCATAATCATCATCAGCAGCATCATCATCATCAGCATCATCATCATCAGCATCATCAGCATCATCATCATTATCATCATCATCAGCACCATCAGCATCATAATCATCAGCATCATCAGCATCGTAATCATCATACTCATCATCATCAGAATAATAATAATAATAATAATAATAATAATAATAAGCATCATCATCATCAGCATCATCATCATCATCATCATCAGCATCATCATCAGCATCATCATCCTCAACATCACGCCACATCCGCCCCCTCCTCGCTTCTCTTCCTCCTCCCTCTCTCCCTCCTCCTACCTCTCCTCATCGTCCTCCTTATCAACTCCCTCTCCCTCCACCCCCCTTTTCCTCCTCCACTCCCTCCTCCTCCTCCTCCTCCTAGTCCTCCTCCTCCTCCTCCTCCTCCTCCTCCTCCTCCTACTCACCCCCCCCTCCTCTCCGCCATCGACCTCCACAAGAACATTCGCTTTGCTCACAACGACACGTACGGTGCCCTTCAGGGGTCGGCCGGGACCGGCAATACCCCGCTTGCCGACACCGCTGGGATCGTTCAACCTTGAACGATCGGCCGTCTCCGAAACGTCCAAATCGTTACACACCGAACAATTCTTGGTAGCCCGCGGCGTTCAAAATTGAACGCCGCTGGCAAGGTCGCCGTGGGTCGACACGGCACGAGTCTGCCGTAGACAGGGACGCTGGTGGCATGCTGCAGGCAGGTGCGCGGCAGGCGGGCTTGCCACAGCTGCCGCGAACCGGCTCGGAGTTCCGGGAAAGCCGAAGTAGATCAGGCCGGGGCTGAGGTGCACGGGTTCCTCGGGGGCCGTAGGCGACCTGAGGAGGAGGAGGCGGAGGAGGAGGAGGTGGGGAGGGGGAGGAGGAGATGGAGGAAGAGGAGGAGGAGATGGAGATGGAGATGGAGGAGGAGGAGGAGGAGGAGGAGGAGGAGGAGGAGGAGCTCTTCACAAACTGGGAAACGTTTTTTTTATCGGAGTTTCCACGTTGGGTGGAGGGGGTTGGGAGGGGTGGGGGTCTGGCTCCGAGCTTCTGCTTAGTGCGACTGTCTGGAGCCATGAGTCCTACTGGGGAGACTCCACCTGCTCGAGAACAGGCGCCGAACAACAGCCAAGGTCTGCTCCACGGGCGACGGGGGGGGGAGGGGGGGGTGCGAGGGCCCGCGCCGACAAAATACGTCATAAAAACACGCTCACCTGTCAGCGCTCTGTTTGAGAGGCCCTTCAGCAGTCGCCCTCTGCTGCCCGCGCCGCTGGCAAGACAGGAGGCTCGGGCACGCCCGAGTAGTCTTTGGGCTCGCGCACGGGGACGGCTGCAGCGGAGCCCTTCTGGGGTTTGGAAGCTGCCCCTCCTCCCTCGAGGTCTGCACCTCCCCCACCGCCCTCAAGGAGGCGCGGAGGCGCGCAGGAGGGCCCCTCTGTGGATGAAGCATCGCCAGCGCTGGATCTGCGCAGCCTGCCTCGAGGAGAGTCCCAGAAGCTTGCCCAGGATGCGACTCCCACCACTCGATAATTTGGCATTCCGGCCGCGTGGTCACGATATCCAGCCCTCGGCGGCGCAGACGGTGCTGTCCCCTGCAATATCTGTCCTCTTTGTGCCGCAGATGCGGGCCTTTCAGCGGACCCTGCTTCGGAGGCTTTCCGACGGACTGCACAAGAGCGTGCCCGACCAACATTTGGCGGGGCCCTGCGCTTGCAGAGAGCCCCTCAGGGACAGCGTCCGAAGGGGCGTGCGGCGCCTGCGGCGCCTGCGGTTCTGTTGACGGCCCCCCTGCCCCTGGCCCGGGCCGTGAGAGAGAGCTGCAGGGGGAGAGCCAGCCAGCAGAGTGCTGCTGGCTCCAGAGGCATCCGAACTCGCCATCGATGTGAGCGCTGGCCCCAAACTCCTCTCCCTCTTCCCGGTTCTCCACCTCCTCCTCCTCCTCCTCCTCCTCCTCCTCCTCCTCTTCCTTCTACTCCTCCGAGACATGGAACGGACAAAAAAAAATAAAGGCCAGCGAAGGAGGGGAAGGGAGCTGAAGGGATGTGAAAAAGGAAGGAAGACAAACGGGTAGGTAGCTAGAGAAACCTGGAAGGACCCTCTGCGCCGACCTTACGTTGTAATCTCTAGGGCCCCCCCTTCCGTCACGCTGGCCCGCGCGCATCGGCCTTTGTCCCGAGGCCACAATCGCTCGCCACATGCAGCACATTCGCGCTCCCGAGGCCAAGATGCCTCCAAGACGGCCCTGTATGGCTACAGGACGGCCCACTTTGGCCTCGAGACGGCCCCAGATGCCAAGACGGCCCACGAGGCCTCCGAAGCGTCCCCAGAGAAACCGCAACAGCGTTCCCAAGAGGGCCCCGAGAGGCAACAATCATCGAGTTCCCGTAGGCTGCTTACTGGTGTTGAGGTTCTCCCCTTTTTGGGCTTCCAACGTCCCAAAACAACAAAAAAGGCGCCCAAGACTGCCGCAAGAGGACCCCTGGAGGGTCCCCAAAGGCCCTCAAGACGGCCCAAGGCGGCCAAAGAGGCTTGGTTCATCTGAAAGAGCCCTAGGCATTATTTTAGCGATTTCTAGTTTGGGCTCTTGACAAGCTAAAAATGCTTAAAGAACGCGACGTATTTTTGCTTATCGGTTTTAAGGATAATTGTTTGGGCGTTTTCAGGTCCGTCGCTGTGGTGCAGCGTTCGGCTGGGCCCTCCGACAGGCCCGCGCGCCCGCCCAGTCCTTCGGGTTCTGCAGGAAAGGCGAGACCACCAGGAAGGCCCGCGGCACCGTGTTCTCCACCGTGAGCACGAGCCCCAGCCCGGTCTCCTCCGGCTGCAGAAGCATGGGGTCGACGCTTCGGTACAGGCGGGGGCGGAAGGGTAGCACACGCCGTGCGGCACACACGTGACCAGAGTGGTGTGCGCACAGAACCCGAGCCCCTTCCCCGGAGAGTGGTGGCCAGGCCTCATGGAGACACCAAGAGGCAGGACCACTCCAAGCGTAAGGCCTCGTGCCAGCTGTACTCGCCGTGTGCTATCCTGTGCCTTGTCGGCAATACTTGAAGAACCTTCTTGGCGAAGCAAGCTCGGGCCAACATATCTTTTTTGCAACACAGGGCGTGGGCATCGGGCGCGAAAAATGTCCAACGTGGCGGAGCACGCCAGCACATGTTGAGGTCGGCAGGTCCGTGGAAGGAACCAAGGCGAAGATATCAGACGGCGTAAGTCTATAAAGCGAGTGAATGATTAGCACGCGTCGTGCGAGGAGGTCCAAAGAGGCCCAGGAGGGCCTCAGAGGAGGGGGAGAGAAGGCCCAGGAGGAAGGGGAAGATAACGATGAGGATGGGGAGCCGCAGGATGAGGATGATGCGGGGGGCGGGGGGGAGGGGGAAGCGGCAAGCTAGGTGCGCTCGCGTCATATCTGACGTCCTACCCCTCCCTCCCATCCCTTACCATGGCGCTGATTTTCTCTATCCGCGGACGCGTGTCGTAGCGGACCTGTGGCTCCGCGCGCGCGTGCGTAGTGGGTGGTGGTGCACGTGCGTGCGTGCGTGCGTGTGTGCGTGGTTGTCGTGGTGGTGGTGGTCGTGGTGGTAGTGGTGGTGGTGGTGGCGGTGGTGGTGGTGGTGGTGGTGCTGGTGGTGGTGGTGGTGGTGCTGGTGGTGGTGGTGTCGGAGAGGGCGGGGAGAGGAAGGGAAGGGGAGGGGAGAAAAGGGGACGCAAAAGAAGAGGAAAAGGGGAACGGGAAAGGAATCGGATGGAAGGGGAGCAGAGGAGGAGTGCGAGGTGGGGGCAGCGGGAACAGGGGAAGAGGGGAAGGCAGAACAGAAGGGGGAAGAGGAAGGCACAGGAAGAGGAAGGAGAGGAAGATGCGAAGAGGGATGGCGATGGGGATCAGGCACATCTGTGCGGAAGTGCTTGCTCGTGCACTGGCTGATGCACTCGCGCGCATGCTCACGATCGCTAAGGCGTATCTACACATACGCGCGCACTCGAGCGGTGGGCGGAAAGACTGGTACGACCACGTGCGCACGAGCACGAGCTTGCACTTTCACAAACACCCGCACAAGGCCGACTCGCACATACTGCGTGAGCTGTGTAGTCACGCGGTGCTCCTCGATGAGAAAGAGCGGATTGACAGAGCTCTTAAACTTGATGAGCTCGCGAAACCAGGACATGTACTTCTTCGTGTCCCCAGTCGCGTGCGGCTGAGGGGGGGACAGACGGGAGTGGCGCACTAATGAGTTTGTGTCCATTAGTTTATATATACGTGTGCAGAACGATGTGTCAAGCCACCTTGCGAGTGATAAGGGCATTGGGACGCATGGTTCAATTTGCGATGTCATCGCGTCAACGCGTCATTTGAGATCGAACTTGAATATGTGGAGCGAAACACCAACGTATTAGACGGACTACCAATGCATACAACATGTGCCACCGTGTCGCGAGGCACTGAGTCCTCAATTCCCACAGAAGTACCCTGAGAGTTCTGTCTAGCCGTGCAGTTGCCAAGCTATAAAGCTAGTCACGTAGTGAAACTGCACACTATTCAACTCGGTCCACCCACAAGCAATTTGATGAATCAAACGCTCATACGCGCAACAACTGCTGAGTACTGACTATGCAATGGTACCTCTGGCTAGACAGCAGCATGTCCAATGTAGTGTACCCCGCTAACGATTTAACTATTCACAGTTCTATCCATCCACAGTTCTATCCAGAGGTACCCCGAAAAAGGATACATTGATATTGTCCATCGGAGCTAGACCGAAGTCTGTGCAACGCAGTTAAGTCAAGACACATGCACACGCCATCAAAACGACACGACGAGTCAGCCCTCGGCTCGTGCGAGGGACAGGGCCACAAGGTCGAGCCCGACTCTGCTGCGCAGTCTCTTGCAGGGACCAAGGTCCTCGCATCTGACTGCGCTGGGGGGCGCATGTGCCCCCCCTCTCAAGATATCGGAGTCCAACTTCTGGACAGCAGAACTTCTGGACACTTGTTGCATCTGACTGCGCTGGGGGGCGCATTTGCCCCCCCCCTCACGATGTCGGAGTCCAACTTCTGGACAGCAGAAGTGAGTTTACTTAGACATGTGTGTATCCGCCACCGTGCCCCCGTGGCACGAAGTGGAACGTCTCGAGGTCCGTTGCTCAGCACCCGAGCCTCAGCCCTCAATCTCGAGGATCCATGGAGGGGGCCAGGACCCAGCTGGGCTCTCAAACATCAGCCTGAGGACCCCTGACTCTCAAACATCGGCTGGGGTCCTCAGTCTTGAGGACCAATCTCGAGGATCCCCGACTCTCAGAAATCAGGGGTCCTCAGTCTTGAGGATCCCGGACTCTCGAACAAATCAACTGGGGCTTCCCGCGTGCCCGCCCCGAGGGGGCTCGGCGCGTCTTCCCGCGCGACCTGCTCGGGCCGAAGGAGGGCCCCAGGGCGGACCAAGAGAGGGCCTCTAAGAGGCCCTGACGACGGTCCAAAGAGGGCCCCGAAGCGCTGAATGATCGGTCCAAGGCGCCCGAGATGGCCTCCAGTCCGCACACAGACGCCCAAGACGCTCTAAGAGAGCCCATCGCGCCTTCCCAAGAGAGCCCCAAGAGGCCCAGATTAGTAGTTTCCAGGGGGTGGTTCAATGCTTGTTGGTTCTCCACGTGTCGAGCTTCCGACGCTCCAAGACGTCCCAAGAGGTCCCCAAGATCGCCCCAAGACGGCCCCAGAGCCCCTCACGAGGGCACCCAGACGGCCCAAGAGAACCCCGAGACGGCCCAGCAGTGCCCCAAGGCAGCCCAACAGGGCCCTCAGACGGTCCCAAGAGGGGGAGCGCAAACCGAAAAGCTGAACCTTCGGCCCCAAGGGGCACCCAGGGGGCCACCACAAGCCCCCCAAAGGCTCCACAATAGCCCCCCCCCCCCCCCAAAGGCCTCAAACCTACCTCCACGAAGCCCCAGAGAGGCCTGCCGCGACATCCCAACGAACATCCTCGAGACCCATGAGCTACAACCCAGACGCGGTGGCGGGATGAGCCGAAGGCCTTTCGACTTTCTTGGCACGGGGACGGAAAGCGCCCATACGCCGCGAGGGAGCAACATCGCTTGCTCAGTGTCGTTGAGCCCTCTTGGTGTTAAGACTTTGGTGTGCCACACAAACAACTAACAACCAAGCTTGTGGAAATCAATGAATATGCACTCTCTGAGCCTTCGTGGGGGTCCTTGTAGGGCTCTGTTGGGCCGTCTTGGAGCCCTCTTGGGTCGCCCTGGGACCTCTTACACTGTCTTTGGGGGCTTGAGCCATCTCGGTGCCTTCTCGGGGCCCCCTGGGGCCGTCTTGGGGACCTCCTGTAGCCCTCTTGGGAATCTCTCGGGAACGTTTGGGGACCGACATGTACCTCTCTTGGGCCGTCATGGGGCTCTCCTGGGCAATATTGGAGCCCTCTTGAGACGTCGTGGACCCATCTTTGGGGCCGTTCGGGGGGGCCCTTGTGCCGTCGTGGGGCGATCCTGGGGGCCCATTAGTGGGGGCCTCTTGGACCGTCGTGGACGCTGCGAAGACCAAAGACGCAGATATGCCACACATGTACGTCTTGTCAAGGGAATGTCGCGAACGTAGCAACGGATCGCGTGCAAAGCAGAGGAGCCACCCAGCACCGCCCGACCTCGATATGGACCTTCTTCCAACGAGCACACTGTAACACCTCAGACTCGAAATGCGATGTATCACTCCTGCCCGTGATTTCCATACTCTGGAGCACGGAAGGAGCGAGGTCCTGACATTGACAGCGAACGTTGGCGAAACAAGCCCGCTGTGCGCGGCGAGCCACCATCGAACCACTACCAGGAAACTCCGAGCACAGCTGGGCGCCAACTGATTAGAAGGTATATCTCGACGTCGGTACGCTCAGGTCGAAGCGACGAACGCTGGAATAGTACGAGGGGAAGGGAGAAGGGTGGTGTAAGGAGAAATGAGAGGGAGAACATACCAAGGAGCAAACTTGTTCGCATATCGGACGCACTTGCAGCTGGGGAGGTCGACGGTCTGAAATCCGCCTCTGGGCTTCGAGCTTTCCCTTTCTGATTCCTGCCAGGATGTAAGATTCTCGCCGTTGCAAGGTTTCGACGCTCCAAGACAGCCCAGGAGGCCCCAAGATCGCCCAAGGTGGTCCCAGACGGCCCAAGGAGGGCCCCAAAGACGGCCCAAGAAGGCCTCGAGAGGGCCCCCCGAGGGGAACACGAACTGACACTTCGAGCCCTCCGCCCCACGATGACCCGAGACCGCCAGCATACCCCCAAGAGGCTCCCAAGGCGCCCCAAGGGGCGCCCAAGAGGCCCAAAAGAGGCCCAACAGGCCCGCAAGCAACCCCAAAACTGCCTCTAAAAGATCCAAGAGGCCGACGACATACCACGTTGGCGGGTTGGGCAGGAGGCCACTCGTTATACCACTTTACTGTGAAGACAAAGGTGGTGGGTGGGGAAGGGGGGGGGGACATTACAGTTCAGAGACTGCCCGCCTGCTTTGTCACCTACAAGGAGGAGCAAGGATCAGATAATCAAACAGGTGCCTGCAGTAACAATGTAGCAATGGTTACCGTATGGATGCAAAAGGCTCTGGAGCCCGTGATCCCGACTCCCATGCGCAAGAGCGTGCAAATCGCACTACCGAGGCACCTTTTCCCGCAACACCACGCAGGCTTGATGCGCACTCTGTGGAAGGTGTGTCGGCGACATGAACTTGATGACATGTTCGTGGCCGAAGATGTGTTCCTGGCACAGGGTTGGCAAATTAATGGAATATCAAGGCGGCCAGAGCGCCCAGGCAGGTCAAGCGGCCAAGCCCAAAGACCTGCGATCGACACATGGATAACTGATGCTCAAAAGCATTACGTGGACTATTTGAGTGATGATACCCTGCGCGCGCATGTTCCGATGTGCGTGTGCACGTGGGTGGTGCCTGCTGATGCCTCTATAACTGCTCCCTTCTGTCTGCCGTGTCTCGGCCATACACGTTGTACCCGTTGACCAGACAACTATCAATACCTGGCGGTCACCACATCCTGTTCCACCGCCGCTCTTGCGCAACGGTTTGCAGGTTGCGCGATAACGCAAGCCACGCGGCGCCTCTTTTGCATCACGACTCCTCCACCCCCTCCTACCTCTCTGCTTCCTCGCGCATCCGCCTCCTGCCCAGCTCCTCCTCCTCCTCCTGCTCCATTCCACTTCTGTTCATCATTCTCCTCGCGCATCTCCCGTCCTCCTCTTACTCGCGTCTCCTCCTCCTGAACCTTCCCCTTCCCGCTCCTTCCCGCTCCTCCGCGCCCTCCTTCACGCCTCATCCTCCTTCTCCCCTTTCTCATCCACTTCCTCTTCTCTTCCTCCTACCCCTTGGCCCGCTTCCGCGGAAACCAAAGTGTACCGATACCGCCGCTCCCCGGACCTCTCCGGGGCACGTTCTGACTATGATTTCGAGGCGAGTCCAGCGGTGGCGACGAAGGTCCTCAAAAAAAGAAAACGGAAGGAAAGGGTAGCAGTATATGGGTACCTTTTTCCCTCCTCTGCTCATCCCCCTTCACCTCCCCCCTCGCCCCCTCGCTCGCCTCTCATGCCTCCTCGTCGCGCATCTGATCCCTGATCCCTCCCCCGGCATTGCTCCTGACCTCCGCAGGTACCTTCCCCTCGGCACCTGCTGTGCTTAGGTCGGTCCGGCCTGTCCCCCTACAGGGGGATTTTCGGCGAAACAAAAAAATTACCCCCAAAACACCCCCCAATGGTCCAAAGCAGTCAAAAATCGTCCCCAGACGATTTTTTGACTATTTTGAACATTCCTCATGTAGAGGGACAGGCCCCGACTTAATGCTGTGCCTGACCTGCTGTCTCTGGGTGGGGGAGCGGGCGACCGGCAAAGGCTTCTTGCACAGTGGAGGCCCATGCCAAGAAACACCCTGCTCGCCTCGCCTCCAGGAGACGCCCCGGGCTTCTCGGGTCTCGATAGTTTTGCGATGGAACGCATGACGTCCCCCCACCAGAGATCCCATGGACGTCCTCGGGGTCTCAGGGTCAGGCTTCTGGTGGAAGGTTTCTCGTGGTCGGGCCCCTACTGCATCGGCCCTGGACCCCCATCCCTGGCGCGCGTAGCGCGCAGGGGGGGGGGGGGGGCACCCGCGCCGAACTGAAAAGCCCGCGCGGGCCCACCGTACCGAGACCCGCTCCCTCCATGGGGGGTCGGGGGGGTGGCGAATGGATCGCCTGCGGGCGCCAAAGGGGCCCACTCATGTGGGCGCTTCCTTCTTCGGAGTCTCGACATTGGGCGGAAAGGGGGGGGGGAGGGGGGGGGGTCTGGCTCTGGACCTCTGCTCAGTGCAACTGTTTGGTGAAGTGCATCCCATTGGTGACTCCACCGGACTCCTCTCCATGGGGGGGGGAGCTGGGGTGCGACGGCCCGCGCCGACCGGCAAAACACTGGATAAGAAATCGATCACTAACTATCGAGGACAGCGCCTGGCGGCGGGCCGAAACCAGTTGCACGCAGCAGATGTCATGCCTCCCCGTTCACATTGCCCCCCGATCCCACCAACCATCCACTTTCCAGAATCGAGGGGAGTCGGGGGTGGGGTCTGGATCTTGCCGCGCGCCCGACGAATTCCGAAGCCTACCCCCGCCGACCCATGCGTTGGATGAGGTCGGGCGTGTCCTCCTACAGGCGGATCTTCGACGAAACATGATACAAATAGGAACAACAGGCTCCAAAAGAGTCAAAATACTAGCAAAAACCAAAAAATCGTCCCCAAACTATTTTTTAATACTGATTTTGAACATTCCTCCTGTAGAGAGACGTGCCCGGCTTGCGAGGAGCCCCCGGGGGCAAGCACCTGTCGGGGGCGCGCACACATGGATGAGCGATCCATGCTTTTGGCGACTGCTCGCCAAACCCGTGGATCGGGGAAGGTGCCCCCCCCCCCCCCAGATGCGGCCGACGCCGCCTCGCTCGGCGGCGAAAGTCCGCGCCGCCCCGAGGAAACGGACCCGTCGCTAATCCACGCCCCCTTACAGTCAAAAACCCTAATAAGGACGCGCGGTAAGGACGCGAGACCCTTGGAAGCCGACATTGGGATTTTTGGGGCGGCGGACGACGAAAACCCCGAGACGAGACCAAGGAAGGACGGAGACGCGAGAGCAAGGAAGAGCAAGGACGCAAGGGCACCCTGAACAAGGTCGCGCGTCCTTATTCGGGCGTTTGACTGTAATCCATGCTTGCGATCGCCTGAACCTGCTGGTGGCTTCGGGGAGGGGCGAGGCGCCCGGCTGCCCGCGAGCGAGAGAGCAAGGAAGAGCAAGGACGCAAGGGCACCCTGAGCAAGGTCGCGCGTCCTTCTTCGGGCGTTTGACTGTCATCCATGCTTGCGGTCGCCTGAACCTGCTGGTGGCCTCGGGGAGGGGCGAGGCGCCGAAGGCGCCCGCGAGCGAGAGAGCAGGCCCCTCGGGGCCCGCCGCACCGGGACGCCGCGAGCCACCGGGGGAACAGATGGGCCGTGGGACACACAAAGAAATACGCGCACGCAAATCCCAGGATTCACACAAATAAATAGACACACAAATAAATACACACACACATAAATACACACACGCATCGGGACACCGCGAGCCAACGGGGAACAGATGGGCCGTGGGACGCACAAAAAATACACACACGCAAATCCCAGGAGCCCCCCCAATTGTTCCATACCTTCTGGGTTGTCGTTCTCCCCACCACTTCCCATACTTTCCCATAGTTTCATGGGGTCGACGATTAATTGTGTCTGTGTGTGTTTTTCCCCTCCTGCATCATGGCATGAACATAGACTACAGTCAACCCGTACTCTGGACTTCTTGATAAGCGTGGGGGGGGACCCCCCCCCCCGACGGGGGCCAACCTCGCCTCGTCGTCGCGCCGCGACGGGGGTCGGAGCTCCTTCGGCGCGCGGTGGCTGCCCGCGACGGCGGTCGATGTGGGGCTGTCGGCAGGGGCGACGCCCCCCCCCGACGCTTCTTGAGAAACTCGGAGTATGGGAAGCCGGGGTGCGCGGCGCGATGCCCAAGGATGCGAGGGCCCTGGACGCCAATGTCTGCAGCTTCTCGGGCGGGGCGCGGCCAGCGAGAATGGCCCAGGATGGACCGAGGAGGCAAGGATGCGAGGGTACGCTTGGGAAGGTTGCCCACCCTTACCCAGAGATCAGGTGTCGTGCTTTGTTCAATACGGGGCCCCCCGGAAGTCTCGACCCATTCCCCAGGCCCGGTTGTCCATCCTGAGCCGTTTCCTGACGGTCCCAGGGCCCGGCGAGGGCCCCCAGGAGCCGAAACTTGCGGAAAAAAAGCGCCGTCTTGCTTTCTGCAGTGCGCTGGCCCTCTGGGCACTGTGCGGGCTGACCGCGTCCTCCCACCGCGGAGAGGCGGCTCTCGCGGCCCTCGCGGGGCGCGTCCTCCCGGAGCGCCTGGAGGCCATCCAGGCGCCCTTCGCCCTCGAACTCCTGCGGGGCGTGGCGCGCCGCACGCGACCCGCTGAGGCGGCCGCCGTCGGCGCCGTGGTCGTCGTCATCGTGGTCGTCGTGATCGTCGTCGTCGTCGTCGTCGTCGTCGTCGTCGTCGTCGTCGTCGTGGTCGTCGTCGTCGTCGCCGTCGTCGCTGTCGCCGTCGTCGTCGTCGTGGTGGTTGTCGTGGTGGTCGTCGTTGTCGTCGCCGTGGTCGTGGTTGTCGTCGTCGTCGTTGTCGAAGGCATCGTCGTCGTCATCTCCACCCACCCCCCTTCCTGAGCAGACAGGGTCGGAGGATCGCCGATGCATCGCCGACGCATCGGCGATGCCAGGATGGAGAAAGTCTGACTCCGAACCACGCCGCATCGTCGGTGTACTGACCATGCCACTTGGGTGGCCTGGAGATGAGGAGGGCAGGAAGAGGTAGGAACAAGGAACTGCGACACCAACACCACCAGGGCGAGGAGCGCGAGGAGGCAAGGGGGGTCTCCCTGGTGGTGTGGTCCCCCCCTCTCGCTCGAGGCATCCCCAGCCTCCAGCTCGGGGAGGCATCGTGGACCTCCTCGCTAGAGGTAGGCCCCCTGATGGTGTTGGTGTCGCTCCTCCTCTCTCCGAGAGAGGGTCGGCGACTCCAGTAGGCGTGGTTTGCAAAGAGTGTGGTCTGCAACCGGCACCCTGGGGGGCACGTTGGGGGACGGGCGAGGACCTCGACAGAGCTCTCCGCCGCGCCCCGAGGAGGCCCGGCGAGGACAGTGTCGTGCCCGCCAGGCCCCAACGGCGCCGATCGCGAACCACACCCTGGCGTAACCATTCTCTTTGTAATCGCCGAGAGGGGGGCCACAAATTTGGGTGACAGCTGGAAGGGGGTGGTGGAATAGATTGGGGGCAATTGTATTGCAAATGTATTGCGCTGGAGAATTGTATTGCATAGTATTGCAAATAATGTGTTGCACGCGAACATCCAACAATACCTTTTTCGCCCCGGAAGGTACTGCACGCCCCAAGTGTATTGCAAACCCACAAATGTATTGCACCAAATCTGTTGCACCACCCCCTTGTCGCTGGACCCCCTTTGGGGTCAACCCGACCAAAGATCGGGCCGGGCGAAAGGGGGGGTTCTCACGTAGCTGGTTTTCCCGGCGCCTCCCGGCGCCGAGAGGCGCTCACGTGTCGAGGAATGTGCCAGGCGGCAGGGCCGAAACCGGCTGCATGCAGCAGATGTCGTACCCCCCCCCGTTCCCCATCCCCCCTTTTCTCGGGGATGGACAGACCTCCCTTTAGTAAAACGTGGTTTAGTGAAAACGACCTGAGACCCAAACCTGGCGGACGCAAGCCTGGAAAATAACGGCCGCGGCGCCCTCTCGAGAACCGAAAACGGACAACTCACTAATCGACGTGTCACTATTGGGGGTTCTGTCCGCCCCCGAAACTTTCGTCTGGCACGAAAAGACCTCCAGAGCATAGCAGAAAACCTTCACGAAGGCGGGCGTGCTGCTCTGCCTGCGATCCTCGGGCTCCGCGGGGACCGGCTCAGGGGGGGCCCCGGGCCGTCCAGAGGAGCGGACTCCAGGGCGAAGAGCGGGCCCCTAGGCCGAGCGGCCTGCCAGAGGTCGAAACTTGGGTCGGGCCTGTCCCTGGACAGGGGGATTTCAGGCGAAACATTTAAAACATACCCCCCAAATGCCCTTAAATACTAAAAAGATCGTCCCCAGACTATTTCTGGACTATGTTTGAATATTCCCCCTGTAGAGGGACAGGCCCGACTTACGTCTAAGCATCCCCCCCCCATGATAACCACCCCCCGACACGCGAAGTCGCTTAGTAAACGCGCCCAAGCAAGGAGTCAAACAGGGCAGGGCTGCTTCGTAAACGCCCAAGGCCGTTCGGGAAACGCCAATTGTCGGGTCCGGGTGGTTTTGTCCTCCCTCGAGCCGCGGGATCCCGCACTGAACAGATCAAGGCGTCGGAGGTCCGGTACGCGCATCTTGGCCCGAGGCGTGTACGCGGACGAGGGACGGCCAGGAGACGCATAGAAAGAAAAGGAGGGGGGCCGGCCGTGAGATCCACACTGTGTGGTGGCGGCGACTTGGATCCAAGACGCGTCGGGGTAGCCGACCGTGAGATCCACACAAACAGTCATTGCTCAATTCTTTGGCGTTCCTGTAGGGCGGTGGGTGAGAGCCCCGACCACCTTCCAGGACCTTTTTGAATCTGCAATCTTAACTGATATGTCTGCCCGTTTCCCGTCTCCTGTGCATCTTAAGCAGTCCTGATAGGTCTGCCCATCTCCCGTCCCCTCGTCCTGCTCCTATTCTTCCCTCATCTCCTCCTTTACCCCTTTCTTCCTCCTCCTCCTCCTCCTCCTCCTCCTCCTGCTCGTGCTCCGTCCTCCTCCTCCTCTTCCTCCCCCTCCTCCTCCCTTCTCCTGCCTAGTCTACGTCCTCGCCATCCCTCCCTCGGTCGCTCCTTGCGCAGCCCGCGCACGACGCGCTGGTACTGCAGCGGGAGGGTCGCCAGCTGCACCATGCTCCCGCGCAGCGCGCCGACGATCTGCGCCGCACGGGCGGGCGAACGGGGGGGCGGTGGGGGGGGGATGCGGAAGTGGAAGGCGGAGGGACTGGTGCGAACTGAAGGAGCCCAAGGACAAGGACAAGGACCCCCCCCCGCGCGTTGGCACCAACAAGGGTGCTGCGGGTGTGGCGCCGTAGCGCCGCTCAACGCTGCGATCGTCACAACGTGGAAAATAAAGCACGGGGGAGGAGGAGGAGGAGGAGGAGGACGACGACGAGGAAGAGGAGGGTGAGAACTGAAGGGGCTCAGGGACACACAAACACATAGACGGAACCCAAGGATTCTCAACACTTCCCCATCTTTTCTGGCTGTGCGCCTTCTGCCCCACCACTTCCCCCTTTTCCCACATGTTCCGGAGGATCGACGATTAAATGTGTCTGTGTTTACTTTTCCCTCCCGGCGAATGTTCGGAGCCCCGAGACAAGATGGTGACGGACCGCGCGGTGACCTCGGAATCCCCGACGGCCCAACCGCACGGTCTGTCACCGCAAGGTTTTGGGACCTCGGAAGCCCCAGTCGCCCGAGACCTCCTCGAAAAATGGCCCAAGTCCCAAAACCGTGCGGTAATCCCGAATCCACACCGACTCACCACGTGGTGGGGTCACCACACCGTTTGGGCCCCCCGAGAATGGATGCGGAAGTGGAAGTGGAAGTGAGAAGAGCGAATGGGGGATCGGAGATACGTAAAGAGGGCTCGGAGCGCGCAGGATGCGGAAGCGGAGGGAGGAAGATCAGGACGAGGAGGGAGGGTGTACGGTGATATTGGGGAGGAATGGACTTGAGTAGCGAAGATAACACGTAAGGACGCGGAGGTACAGTGAGACGGGAGGGGAAGCGGATGATGAAGGTGGGAAATCATAGGATCGTGCGACGAGGAAGGGGGCGTGAAATGAAGAGAGGGAGGACGAAGACGAGAAGATGGTGATACTGATGGGGAAAAGGATAAGGCAAGACCAGCCCTGGAGCGCGATTTGCGAGGGGCACCGCCAGGAACCCACCACAAACTCGCCCTTCCCCTTCGTCGTCGTCGTCCTCCTCCTCCTCCTCCCCTCCTCCTCCTCCTCCTCCTCCTCCTCCTCCTCCTCCTCCTCCTCCGTCCTCCGTCCTCCTCGCATCTGTACTGTTACAACATTTGAACACTACTCTCGTCTCTCCCCGCCTGAAGATGTCCCGCCGACTCCCTAGTTTCAACGACCGACGTGCACACAGTGTACACGATGAGGAAGACGAGGAGGGGATGTGGCAGGAGGGGGAGGGGAGAGAGGAGCGAGAGGAGAAGACGCGCTCCCCAGGCGACCCCTGTGGCTGCATTGGAATTGTCCTCCCCCGACGACGGCGAAGACGACGTTGAAGACGACGACGACGACGACGACACCGCGGTTCGCGGGTCCCCGGGGATCTCGACCACTTCCTGGGCTTTGCAACCTGACTCTTGACCGTCCTGGAGCTTGGTGACGGGGATCTTCGTTTGTTTGTGTGTTTTGTTGCGACGCTCTTATCAGAGGGTCGAACAACACAACGACGTCCTTGTCGGCAACGGCGGGAACGTCCTCCCTCCTTCTAGGGCTGCCTTCTCCCGTAGCTCGAACATGCGCGCCGAGTAGTGGTAGACCTCGGAGGCGCCAAGAAAAGGAAATCAGGACAGTCGAAATGGGCTCGGAAAGAATTGGAACGAAGACCGACAGCGATTACTGTCCATTTTGAGCAGGACTCGCTGTTGGCGTCGCCATGGACGTTGTCCAGTGGAGCCCAACAAAAACCAGCTCCAAAAGCGCACATTGCTAATGTCGGTCAAAATTTGCTGGTGAATATCGTACCCATACTATCAAACTGTCCGTAACCATTTCGGGCATGCTGGGCAGCGCTCCCAAGAACCTTCCGCAAAAATGGGGGGGCGGCTGGGTTCCTCCCGGGAGGCGGCCCAGAACTCGTATGGGAAGGGCGGGGCTGGAGGGAGGAGACGACTGGGGAGAGGGAGGGGATATAGGATACAAGACGAGATGCGACAAAACAGAACAGATCACGTGATCGAAGTAGCAGACGGTCCTGAGAGAAACAGTGTCCACGCAGAGCTCCACAGACGTAGGAAGCCCCCCCAGGCCCAGGCTGCGCGGATACCGACGAAGGGAACCATGAGGCGCAGTGAAGACCCCCGTGCTCAGGGACGGGGAAAGGGGGGACAAGGGGCAGGGGAGCAGGATGGGGGCGAAGGGGAGGAGCGCGAGCAAGACCGTGGGGCAAATCGCCGATGCCACTCTGCCAGCACGTGGCCCAGGAATCCACGCCTCGTCCCACTCCTGGGGCTCGAGGCATCCGAGACGCTGCCCTGAAGGACCGGGCCCCCGCCTGAACCTGCGGGCCCGCGGGCCACGTGGGGCGCCCGTCCTGCAGGGGGCGGGGCGGCGCCCCGCGCAGCGCGAAGGAGAATGCGGGCAGGAACGGATACGAGGATGACGAGGATGGGGGCCTTGGGGGCGGGAGGGTGCGCTGCAGCATCGCTGATACCCCCGGGGCGTTGACCCAAGGAACCGAAACCAAGGAACGAGGCCCCTCTTGTTTCCACACACACACACAAGGTAAACTTCGATCTCCCATGGGAGACCTCAGGCACAAACAAAAACCCAAGGCAAACTGTAAGACAAGCCAAGGAACACCGAGCCCCTGCCCAACGAAAAGGGTTCCTCCTTCAGCGCACGGATTGTCCAGTCAGAATCAATCATTCAGGGTGGAGATTTGAGGATGCACGACGCATAAAACGCGCCGAGATGTAAAACCACAACTAACAAAAACAACGCGCCGACATTCAACAAACCTAGAGATGCAAGGTACCCCAGCCAGGCAACATCCTCCCCCCCATCCATCTCGGCCGAAGGTGCGCCGACGCCAATCACGAACGTGGGACAGCGCTTCCCGTGGAGGGCGAGCCGGGCGCCCCGCCAGCAACTGCTTCTTGCAGTCCAACACGCCGGCCTCCCCCCTCGCAATGAGACCGAAGGGACGAGAACGGCGGCAAGATCAGTCAGCATCGAACCGTGAAAGTGGGGCGTCGGACAGAGCTGCGTCGGAACGGACCGGACTCGAATCGGACCGGCCGCGCCCGGATGCGCAGCACCGCCCAGGCCATCGTCGGGCCGCATCGGGTCATCGGAACATGCAATATGGGGATCGGATCGGATCGGGCCAGCGAGGATCGATATCGCACAAGATCGGTCGGATCGGAAGGACGAGGAGGGGGGGGAGGAGGAGGAGGAGGAGGAGGAGGAGGAGGAGGAGGAGGAGGAGGAGGAGGAGGAGGAGGAGGAGGAGAAGGAGGAGGAGGAGGAGGATCGTTCAGGGTCGGTCGGATGCAACTTGAGAGTACGACTCCCTATGCTGTCGTGGCTCGCCCGCGCGCGACCCACGCCTGCTGGCCATAGGCACCCATCTGCGCGAAAGAAGCAGGAAGGGGGACGAGAAACGAGGAGAGAGGGGGAGGAAGAGGAGGAGAGGGTAAGGCGGGATGGACTAGAGAGAGAGGAGAGGAGAGGAGGGAGGGGGAGGAGGAGGAGGAGTAGGAGGAGGAAGATGAGGAAGAGGAGGGACGAGAAGGCATGTGGAGGGAGAACGAGGAATACGAGGAGAGGCAGGAACGCGGGAGGCTGATACAATATGGCGCCTCAGAGAGGTCATGTGACGAAAACATATGATAACCTGAGCGTCAATATCGATTGCGCAATTCTGGCTTAAAGGGCTTAGCGGGATGCAATTACATGTTCAAGCAGGGGGGAAATCTGGCTACCTCAAACGAGACACACGCGGGAGCTGTCTCCTCCGAAGAACCTTCCAAACAACCATCAAAGGGACCCAAGCTTCCTGGGGTGATGCGACTCCAATGTTAAGAATCACACAACAAAAATGCGACGGAACCTACGGGCCGTTTGGGGTGCAGTCGGGTACAGGGGGCAGCAATTGGGGACCGTCGAACTGTGCAGGGCAACTGCGGGTGTATGCTGAATATGAAGCAACCACATTTGAAGCGTAGAACTTCCTCGATGATCTTCCCGCAAGTGTATGAAGGCTGATTTAAGGTTCGGTCAGAGGCGTTTTGCGCATTCGTGGAAGCTTCGTAGAAGTCGTCCGGGGCATCGTGTGGTGTGGTGTGGTGTGGTGTGCGTGTGCGTGCGCGTGCGCGTGCGCGTGCGCGTGCGCGTGCGCGTGCGCGTGCGCGTGTGCGTGCGCGTGTGCGTGTGCGTGTGCGTGTGCGTGTGCGTGTGCGTGTGCGTGTGCGTGTGCGTGTGCGTGTGCGTGCGTGTGTGTGTGTGTGTGTGTGGCTTCTTGTTTTGGGGCCGCTGTTGGGGCTCCCTCCATCCCTTCGGCAATCTCTCTGGGGCACTCCCGGGATCCTCCTGGGGCGCTCTTGGGACCTGCACGCTTCGACGCAGCTGGCTGGACACGACTGGCATCGCGCAGCAGTGGAACTGCCCAAGTAGCCACGACCTGAAGCCATTGCCTGTCGCCTGCGAAGCCGGAGCTCAACGATGATGACAGATCGTCACAGACACCCGGCGGCGCCCCCCGCCACCTCTCGGCGGCTCGCACGAGGGGGTGGGGGGAGGAGGGAGGGCTTCTCAGAAGCACCCTGTTTCTCAGACGGCGCTGGGCCTTCTATCCACAGACAAGGCCCGCACCTTCTAAGAAGTAGGGGTGCTTTTAAGAAGCCCTCCCCCCTCCCCCCTCTGCGCGTGGCTCGGGGATGGACAGACCCCCCTTTAGTGAAACGTGGTTTAATGAAAACGACCTGAGGCCCAAACCTGGCGGGCGCAAGCCTTGAAAATAACGGCCACGGCGCCCTCTCGAGAACCGAAAACGGACAATTCACTAATCGACGTGTCACTGTTGGGGGTTCTGTCCACCCCCGAGTGGCTGAACCTCCTCCCTCTGCCGCAGGAGGCGCCGCCCCAGGAGGGGGCGAGCGGGGCGGGAGCCGGAAGGGTCTCCGGCGCCGGCGGCGAGACCGTCCGCGGAGGCACGGCGGATCGTCGTGCGCTGTGTCCTGCAAGCTGCCCTGCCACTGCCACTGCCGCGGCCCCTCCTCTGCGCCATCCTGCCGGCAGCTGCGCATCGGCGCTGAGCGGCGCCACCTCGACGCACATCGGCGCTACGGACCGCCGCTGCCCAGCCGATGGCCAGACGCGAGATATCTGCGCCAGCGCACTCCAGAGACGAGAACCTACGAAGGGATAGAAGGCTCCCATAAGCTGCTCCCCCCAGTAAATCGTTTTGGTTATGCTCCCCCCTGGTTTCCTCGACGGGAAACCAAACTCGTCCCCCCTTTTCCTCGTGCTTTTGTTCCTCCTCCTCTTTCTCTTCCTTCGCCCCCCGTAATCGCAGTCGTAGTCGTAGTCGTAGTCGTCGTCGTCGCCGCCGCCGCCGTCGTCGTCGTCGTGGTTGCTGTTGTTGATGTTGTTGTTGTTGTTGAACATTATTAATTCTAAAGAATAATTATTGTTGGGGCCCCTGGTGCACGGCCCCCCTGCGCCGCCTAGGCCGCAGCTACATTTTCATCATTTTCGTGAGGAAGCCTCAGGTAATTCGATGTGATCAAGATCCGGTTGTTTTGTTCCCCCCCGCTTTCCCTTGCAAAAAACACTATAAAATGACATTTCTTGTTCTAATATAATCAAATTTCAAGAATCCCTTGCAAAAAATAAGGTAAAGTGGACATTCGCGCGCGCAAGACGAAATCCTTCCAAAAGCTTAGTGTTCGGAGCGATTTTAACATAAAAACATCAAAAAACCAATGGTTTTTCAACAAAAAAATGTCAAAATCTCATCCCGCGCGCTCTTGCGGATTCGTAGGAAACCCAACACTTTTTAAACATTTCTGTCAAACGGGCTTTTGCGAGCAACTTTTTCGAACTTCTGCGACAACGGTTGCGCACCTGCCAGGGCCATCATCCCTGTCAAATAATACCATGCGGGACACATTCGTTTTTTGCGCGCGCACGCCGAAATCTCCAAAAACCATTGGGTTCTTAAGAATTTTACCACCGCGCATCATAAAATCACACGAATCTCTCTCTCTTTGTCTCTCTCTCTCTCTCTCCCGCTCTCTTCCTCTGTCTCGCCTTCTCTCTCTCAGTGTCTGTACCATGTCTAGCACTGGTAACAAAGGTATTTGTGTATCCCCACATCCGCCCAGGAATTCCACAAATGTGACCAACTATCTTGCGAGTACGTATCATCTCATGTGTGTCGTGCACACTATCAAATGTAACAGAGTTGTGTATTCCCATCATCCCAGGAACTTGACCCAAAAATGTGACCAACTCCGCTCTCTCTGTCTCTCTCTCTGTCTGCTCTCTGTCTCTCTCTCTGTCTCTCTGTATTATGTATTGTATGGCACAATTGCACCATGCTGGGCACATGCGCGCCCCGAATAAGTGACCAAGTTCTGTGGGTGTGTACCCCACGCCAGTGTAGTAGCCACGGTCGTCCGCACGCCACGAAGTGAAGTGTCCCAACGTCATAGGGCGGGAAGCTGGGTTTGGGTGGTCGCGAAGAGTCGTTTGGATATTTGGTAGAGCTTGTAATGCCCCCCCACGAAGTGGGGGTATTGCCTGGTGTCGTATGAAAACCCTGGCACTGGGGAGAACACCACGCGTTCGGGTAAAATGATTGTTGTTGTTGTTGTTGTTGTTGTTATTGCTATTGGTATTGTTATTGTTATTGTTATTGTTGTTGTTCTTGTTGTTGTTGTTGTTTTTGTTGTTGTGCGGCGGGTGCCGCGTGTGAAGAACTAGTTTCTACGATTGGTGGGGCCCCAGTCCGTCAATAAGGTCGCCAGAAAAATATGTTACACTTTTTTGTTTTTTTTTGGGGGGGGTCAGGGGACCTACCGATGTTGCCCCGACCCCCCGCGGACCGCCCCATGATAGCGTCCGTCCGCGGAGGCACGGCACGTCGTGTGTTTGGGCCCCGAGCGGAGGTGAGCGGTACGACCAAGAGGAGGACGAGGCAAGCGACGACGAGGTCAGGGGCGAAGATGATTGAGAAGGTTGCCAGCATCAAGAAAGGATCCCTCTGGACACGTCTCCAGCTTCTGAGCCGCAGCCTCGGACATGTCCCGCACCCTGGCCCCGCATCTTGCAGCCCATCACCAGGAGGACACGCACGGGCAGACCGGCGGCGAGGTGGGCGAGGTCGCAACGAACGGAGATCCCTCCACGGGGAAAGCGGTTTTCGTTGCGCCCCACTCTTCCCGGGAGCGGCCAAGAGGGGGGTGTCCAAGAGGGGGGGTGCAAATCATGACCGGCGGCATGTGCGCGGCCCAGCGGGGGGGCCAGGGACGTAATGAAATAAGAAGGGGCGTCATGACATCTGGGGAAATATCATGGCCCCCGTTATGATATCCACCCCCCCCTAGTCATCATTTTCCTCTTTGCCGCCCCCGATTAGTTGCGCCTCACTCTTCCCCCGCCACTCCTCGGATTGCGCGTAGAAGCCCATGTCGCGGAACAGGGCCTTCAGCAGGGAGGCGTACGCGCGCCGCCCCGCCTGGCGCGGCGGCGCGCGCCCGCACGGGGCATCCCCGCGAGCGCCGCCCCCCCGGGCACGCCACGCGAGGCCAAATCGGATCGTCGTCGGCGAGGACGAACAGCGAGGACGACGAAAACGACGACGACGACGACGACGATACGACGACGTACCCCAGGACTCGCGAGTACAGCGACGGGCGAAGATCAGCGGCGCGCAAGGGGGAGGAGGCAGGGGCATGCTGGGTGCTGGATGCTGGAGTGGCCTGCCTCCGAAGCAGCAGGTCCGCGAAACGAGAAGGTGAGTGCACACAGCGAAATAGGCTTGGGAGAACGGCGAACGCGCGGGCGAACGCGCCCGAGCGTGAGGCGCACATGCAATGTGGCCAATCCGGTTGGAAAAAAAGGCCCCGGCGTGCTAAAATTAAGTGTGGCGGCGCTCCTACATCTACAGTTAGGTCGGGAATGTCCACCTACAGGCGGATTTTGGACGAAACATAAAACACAATCCAAGCATGTCCAGCATAGACAAACACGGTAGAAACAACGTCCCCAGACTTACTATGTTTTGACTACTTTTGAATATTCCTCCTGTAGAGGGACAGGCGCGACTTAAATCCACAGGTAAGGCCCATGCCTTCTGAGGAGCAGGCGCACCCCACCCCTCTGCGCGCGGCTGAGAAGAAGGGTGCGGAGCGGGGGAGGGGGTCCACACCCCACCGCCCGGGGAGCCGATGCCATGGGACCCCACGGGGCGGTGGGTATGGACATACTGAAGGGGCCCTGGAGCAGAACAACAAACAGACACAAAGAACAGTTCCCATATGTTCCCATAGGTTCGTCTTCCCCCCCCCTTCCATGTTCTCCCATCTTTTCCTGGGAGTCGGCGATGATGTGTCTGTATGTCTTCCCCCTCCCTACATATCTGGGTCCCTACATATCTGGGTCCCTACATATCTGGGGGGAACCTTCGAGCTGGCATCGGCGATGCCTCGCCAGCAGAGGTCGACGATGGGCGCCCGACGGCGACTCCGCACACTTCTGGGCGGGGCGAGCTGGCGGGCGGCCCCTGTCGGCGATGGACATGGCGGGGTCGATGCCTCCCCCTTCTGAGCCGATCCCCCCCCCTTTGGGCGCCCGAGTTGTCTGGGGTAACTCGGGTCCGGGGTAACTCGGGTTCGGATTCCGGAAAAAGGAAGGAACCCGAGTTAGCCCTGACCCGAGTTACCCCTGATGATGTGGGGCTTTGGGCGCCCGAATTGTCCGGGGTAACTCGGGTCCGGGATAACTCGGGTTTGGACTCCCGAAAAAGGAACCCGAGTTAGCCCTGACCCGAGTTACCCCTGATGATGTGGGGCTCTGGGCGCCCGAGTTATCCGGGGTAACTCGGGTCAGGGATAACTCGGGTTCGGACTTCCGAAAAAGGAACCCGAGTTAGCCCTGACCCGAGTTACCCCTGATGATTCGGGGCTCTGACCCCTATCGTTGGCCCTGACCTTTCGCTCCCTGGTTATCGGGCCATCACTCGGGCCTCCGGCGGACGTTCGGGGCCATCCTGGCAATCCCGGAACGCTCTCGACGAGGCGCAGTTGATCGAAACCGGCCTGTGCGTCGAAAGCGTCCGAAAACCATCCCCCCAGAGCCTATCTCTCCATCTCTGTCGTTGCCTCTGGGCCCCACGCGCAACGACGTGGCGGCCTTACGTTACGGCCTACGCAGAATGCCAGCGCGGCGCGAGCCGCCACGCAGAGAGAAGAGGACGCTCGCGACGGGAGCTAACGCGGGCAGCCTGTGCGCTGGTGCCCGCGCGGCAGGCCCTGTCTCTCCTCATCGCTCCAGCGGGAGTCGGAGCGTACGCAGTCGGAGGATCGCGCGCCGAATCGCCGGTGCATCGGCGACGGCGAGATGGAGAAAGGCGGGCTCCAGACACCCAGAGTTCAGTGCGGACACCAAGACCAAACGAGCGACGAAACAAGACGGGCTTCACGCGAGATGACCTTGACGCGACCTAACGCGGTGGCTCACGCGGGGAGCCGACTGATTAGCCACCAACCAACCCCAACCCGACCCGAAGACCCGAATTTCGGGTTGGGAGGGGGGTAGGTTTCCATATGTTTTTTGTTCCAGAGAAGTCCCCCGATCCCCCCCCACTGGAAATATAAGGCACACTGAGGCCTTCGGGTGGGGTCGGGGTGTTTTGGTAGGCGGTGACCAACGCGGCACGCCACACCGGAAGCGAGGGCGCTCACGCGCGGCCTCGCAAAGGGCAGCACACGCGCGAGCGTCTGGGCCAGCGAGCCCGTGCTTCTGCGTCGCGCGAGTGGGCCTCGTGCTCTTCGTCGGCACCCGCCGGTCGCGCCGCGCGCGCCCCCGAGCACGGGGATTGGGGGGCTGTTGGAGGAGGCGGAGGAGGAGGAGGAGCAGGAGGAGGACGGAGGAGGAGGGGGGGGAGGGGGGGGAGGAGGAGGAGGCGACGCGAGCCCATAGGACGACGCGCCAAGTTCGCTTCGGGACGGACAGGGGCAGTCGGAAAAGGAGAGCGAGCGCAGTCGAGCACTATGAGCCCAGCCGAAGCATCACAGCAGTGACAACAGCGCCGACATCCCAGGACGAGAACGAGTTTCAAGGAAAACTCGACTGATATGGACTATATGGAAAGCAGGCCTGGCCACTGAACTGCATCATCACTGAAGAGGAGCCTGCGAGGGAGGGGGAGTGGATGGGGCTCAGCCTCCCTTGGGGTGGACGCCCTTCATAAGTTATCCCGCCCCCATTGCCGTTGAGGATTCCCTTCTAGAGCAGCCTCGGGGTCACAAATCCAGAAGAGCCGAGTGCGAGCCGTTCTGGCCGAGAGCGCCCCGCACTTACTACAGCCCACGATTTCCCTAGAACTATGCAGGACATGCCCTCGCGCCGCGATGGGCGGGACCTCTCCCGACCTCGGCAGAGGCTCCAAGGGTGGGTCCGCGTCCGCAAGCGACGGCGGGGTGCCCCTAGCAGCTCGCTTCACGCCACGCGAGGCCGCCTCGACGACGGCGCCAGCCACGGCCTCCCAGGGGCCAACTTGGGCCGCTCGAGGCCTCCGAAAACTCAGCCTCTTGCGAGGCACGACGCGCGGCTGATCCATCGCATCCCTCGCAGGAGGAGGAGGAGGAGGAGGAGGAGGAGGAGGAGGAGGAGGAGGAGGAGGAGGAGGAGGAGGAGTGGGGAGGAGATCAACGCCATTGGAAACAATGGGGCAGGGCGGGGGGTCGGCCAGACGAATCGGCACCACAGCCTCGGAACAAGAGTTCACCAGAGGGGGGAACCGCACGACAGGCACAAGGCCAAGGGAGGGGGGGTTACCCGAGGCTTGACCCTGTGAGACCTAATTGTCCTCCTGCTCGTGCTCCTCCTGCCCATCGTTGTCCTCCAGACGGCGACTCGGCGACCTCCCCGCTCCTTGGAGGAGGAGGAGGAGGAGGAGGAAGAGGAGGAGGAGGAGGAAGAGGAGGAGGGAGAGGAGGAGAATGAGGAGGAGAAGGAGGAGAAGGAGGAGGAGGTGGAGGAGGAGGAGAAGGAGGAGGAGGATGAGGAGGAAGAGAGGGCAAAGCTTGGAGGGGTGCAGCACGGCTGGTTGCGAGCGGCTTCTGACACCGAGCGGATCGTTTCAGCCCTGACGGTTCGGTGGCTTTTCGATCGCTAGATCGAAACATACTACGTAGCCGATTATGGGCCGCTGACGGCGTTCAACCTTGAGCGCCAGCGCTGGGGTCGCCGCTGGCATCGACACGGCACGAAACTGCCGTACCACTGTCCTAATGCCCACCGACCCCGAAAACGGTACAGGGAGGGGGTTACAAATACAGAAAAGCGCAGGGATCGCTAAAAACAAGCCTCGGAGGCGAGCCGGGGGGGAGTGACTAGGGGCGGGCCTTGTCAGAATGTCAGAAGGCTCGGAAGTCCCCCAGCCTTTTGCAAAGTTTGCCCAGCCTTCCCCGAAGATACAGAAAACCTCCCAGAGGCCAGAAGCCTTCTGAGAAGCCCCGAGGGCTTTCGTCTTCTCACTTCCCCCCCCGCTCGCCGCCGACAGCCCGCCGGCGCCTGCAAATGGGGCCCACGCCCACTCCGTCCGCCACCGCACGGTTTGGGGACCCCGAAGGCCGCGGCCGCCTCGGACGTCGGAGCACGAACCAAGCTCCAAAACCGTGCGCTCACACCGGATCCCCACCGACTCGCCAGTCGTTGGTGGTCTCCGTTCGAGGGCCCCCGACACCTCGACGACGGACGACGTCGACGCCGACGACGGCAACGACGGCGACGACGTCGACGGCGGCGACGACGACGATGACGACGGCGAAGGCGGCGGCGACGACGGCGACGGCGGCGGCGACGACGGTGACGAGAGGCGCCCCTTTAGGCGGGACCCGCGCTCGGGCGGGTGGTCATGGGGGGTGACCTAAGTGGGGGGTGAAGCAAAGGGCCTGTCCCCCCCCTTCAGAGGGATTTTGGGCGAAAAATCAAAGATAACCAAAACAAATTCAAAAAATCACCAAACATACTAAAAACAGTTGTCCCCTTTACTATTTTTGCATATTCCTCCTGTAGAGGGACATGCCCAGCTTATTAGTAAGGTCGTTATCGGCACCCCCAAATTAGGTCAGCCTCCATTACCACCCGCCCGAGGTCGTTTCGTGACGGCCCATAGGCATGGGGCTTGCCGAGGCCTTCCAGGGGTCAAGAATTGCAAAACACACCCCGTCGCGATCTTTCCGCGCCGCGATGGGGGCCTGGACTCAGTGTGGGCCCATCAGGCGGCAGGGGACGGCAACGGAAACGCCAAAACATTCGCTCCAGCACTGAAACCGGAGACCGGAGCAAGCAGAACCACGGCGACGGAGCAAAAGACGACAACGGCGCCGGAACCGGCAACAAAAACTGCAGAGCGGAAGGCCTGCGCCTCTCCGACCTTTCTTGGGCGGGACCCACCCGCGCCATAACACTAGATAGCAATATGTGTGTTCGGTCGCCATCGGTAGCGACCGATCGGCACTCCAACCCGGTCGCGCCGGATCCCGACTGATCCCCCCAAATCAGTAGCGACCCGTCGCCACCGATCGCGCCCGATGCCGAACCTTGAAGTGGAATCAACAGCAAACGATCTCGTCGGTCGCGACTGGAAAGGTGAAATGACTATCCACTGGTCAGGGTTGGACGGGACCCGCCCGCGCCCGGGCGGGGCCTCTTCCGTGTCGCTCCCGGGCGGACTGTCCTTCTGGGGCGTCTCGGGGCCCGCATCGGCCCCGCGCCGGCCTGCCGAGAGGGGGGCGGGAGGCGGTGCTGGGGGGGGAGCGCTTGGCCCGTGCCTCCTCCTCCTCCTCCTGCTCCTCCTCCCCTCCAACTAAAGTGGGGAGGAGGAGGAGGGGCAGGAGGAGGAGGAGGAGGGAAAGGAGGGAAAGGAGGGAGAGAAGAAGGAGGAGGAGGAGCAGCAGCAGCAGGAGGAGGAGGAGGAGGAGGAGGGAGAAAAGGAGGTTGTTTGGGACGGGCCTAGTACCAGCACGTCACCGACAATCAGCCAAAATCGGAAACCTCCGAGTCTGACTCGACGCCGTTGCGCGAGGCTCGGAGGGAGGCGGCCCCTAGGTCCTTGACCCAGGGCAGATCCGACTCGACGAGGCCGAAAAATCCAAAACCCGCTCACGCGGGGCGAAGCCCCCTGCGAAACACCCCGCTGCGGGACCTGAAACACTCGGGGGGGTTTGGTCATCCTCTTGCAGCGTCTGAGCCAAGAGCCTGCGCTCGGCGAGGTTCAGGCCCTCGTGGGCCCCCAGCTATAAGCTCTTCAGATCCTTCTCATAAGACGGGAACCGACCCAGCCGAATCTTTTTCAGCTGGTGTGAAATCCCGCCTGTGGTTGACTTCGGCCTGCACGGCCCTCTACCTCCAGCGTTGGGAGCCCCCGAGAAAAACGATCCACACCTGCAGCACAAATGGATCCTACTCCTGGGGGCCCCTGGAGGCTTCAAGACAGGGCAGGCCAGGAACGCATGACCGTTCGCCCTAAAAACTTGCCGAGGGAAAGGCCGCCATTCCTCCCCCAAGCCCAACGAACTTCCACCCTCCCTTCGATCGTCGGCCAGGGCCTGGCCTTCCGCTGCTTGTTCGAGCGACGGCTGCTGCAGAAGGTCATCGCTGCGTGTCGAGCGCTGCGCAAGGCATGTCGTGTCACGGGGCCCTCCCGCCATTGTGCCCTCGACGCTCCCCGCCCACCTGCAAGCTTGACGGGCGAGGCATCGCAAACCCCTGTACACGTTAGCGTCGTCCTCACTGACCCCGTGATAATCTGCCCCTAGCTTAGCAAACCCGTCTGCGTGCCCGTTGGGCCGACGTTCCCGCTCGGTGTTTCTGCCAGCCTCTGTCGGCGGCAGTCGCATGGCCGAACGTCTTGTGGCACTCGACATCGCTGAGAGCAAACGCGCTCCACACAGGGCCCCAAAGATGGGCCCTAGGGGCCCCGGGGCCCTCAGAGAAACCATGCCCGCGAGCGAGCGAGTCCGAAGTGCTCTGGCAATCGACGCAGCACTGCAAAAGTGGGAGTACCTACCTGCGACAGTATATGTACTGCATAGTACCCCCGTCGTTACTCGTCTGCTGCGGGGCCCTACGCAATGGGGCAGGTCCGTACGCCGCCGAAGCCACGTTTCCGAACCTGTCAACCGACACGATGCTCCAACCAGCTCTGGCGAGCCCGTCGAGGCCCATGTATTTCGCAGACACGTCCAGGAAGACCAGCCGTGAGAGAAGGCCCATATCGGGCCGCTGGTGCCAGTGGACCGTCTGGGTGGGCTCCTCGACGTCGAACGGGACCTGGGGTGAGGGAAAACGCGCCTCGCGAGCCTCTCCGCCGCCAGCGGGCCGAGCTCCTTCACTTTCTGCGCACGCCCACCCACACGAGCACTCACTAGATCACGACGCTGAACGGCGTGAGCTGGGCACTCGTGCTGGCGGTGCCACAAGGTGCCTGGCGCACCTCTGCACAACTGACAAGGCTCGTCGTCATGCAGGTTGTGCGCGAACAAACGCGCTTGAGGCCAATGCACTCCCGAGACCAGTCCTCGGAGGCACTTCTGGTGATGCTTGCACCAGACCTTCGACTTCTCCATGAACATCCTGGAGATCCCGTCCCAGATGAAGGGGTAGACAGGGGGGGCATCAGGGCCGTTCTGCAAGTGGAGTGCATGGAGGAAAAGAATGAGGAGGATGAGGGGGAGGAGGAGGAGGAGGACGACGATTTTAACGTGAACCAGGACTGGCACAGCTGTTGGCTTGCCAGTAAAGAAAGCCTTGGCTGTGACTGAGCGGGACGGGCCACACGGGCACCAGAGCGCCAAGGACACAGGAGCCACAAGGCCCCGCGGCACTTACAGAGCAGCTTGCACGGAGCCACGACCTTCACGCCTCCACGAGGCGCCGCTGTGCTCTGTGCCTGACCCGCCACGTCCGCGTCTGGAGCCTAGCGGGGAAGCTTCACTAGACGGCGTTGCGTTGCGACCAGAGCAGCTAGCCTCCATCCCGCGAGGGGGGGAGGCGGGGTGGGGATGAGCGACGGTCGGGGCGGACCGGCTTTCCAGGTCCACCCCCGTGCCCAAGAGACCCACGGGGCTGCCCCTACGCAGCTGTCACTAGGGGGCCCGTAAGGACCTCCCAAGCCGTGCAACAGGGACATCCTCTGACCAAAACGGGAAAGGGAAGAGAGAGACGACGTCGGCATGCGGAGCGTTGCGCAGCACCGCCCGTTTTTCTTGGGGGGGGGGGTCACGATTAACAGAACCAGTTTCAAGTGGGCCGCGCAGCGGCCCAAAAGGACTGAGCGACGGAGAGAAGCAGGATACCACAGCTCCCACCTCCCAAACGGGTTGAGGGCCTTGGCCAGCCGCCTCATGACACGCCTCAATCCGATCCCGAAGCATGGTCATCTTTGACCGCGCCTGCGACCAGGGGGGCGTTGCCCCCCCCCTTCCCGCAGGATGTCCACTCGACGGAGCCTCGACCTGGGATCCGCTGGAGCGGAGGAGGCCGCCGCATGGGGCGTGTCCCCGCTCTCAAACATGAAACGTGATGCTTCATCCTCCGCTTCGAGCATATCACCGACGGCTCGGGGGCAGGCCTGGACGACCTCCCTCAGCTGAAGCCCGACGCGGCACTCCCCCACCCACTCCCCGCTCCACCGCGCCCGCTTCCTTCGCAGCACTACGCGCACGCAGAGCCGCCAGCCTATCAAGGTATCTGGCGTGAGCTGGAATACGCACAGGCCGAACTGCCTGCTCGTGCGAATTAGCCTCTTCGAGAGTGAGTGGAGCCTCGTGGTCCGCACATGTGACCGTCAGCTTTTTCTTTGGGTGCAAACCTCTCCGCAACCTTCTGAGAGCCGTCGTTCCAGTGCTTCTCCTTTCCTCATCCGAGCGAGGCTGCTGACAACGCTTGACCAACTTAAAGATTCTGTGTTGGGCGAAGTATCCGTACAGCATACAAAAGAAGAGTGGGTTCGACTGGTTAGCCACTTGAGTAGAGGCCAGCTGGTGGCCGCGCTGAGGGGACAAGGCCAAAAACTCCTTCACCCTCGCAAAGAACCCAGAACAGAACAACCAGCCTCGGGTCTCGCTTCCTTCTTTCCACTATAAAGCTTCAAACAACTAATGCATCTGGAGCCCCATAGCCAAGGCCCCCACGCATGCCAGCCATCGTTCATCAAAAAGTTCAACAGGGCGCTCTTTCATCGGCGGTCGCTGGTGCTGGACCCTCGGGAACAATGGAGGGGCCCCCGCAGCGAGGCGAGCCACTGTTTGGAGCTGCTCCAACGAGTTATTGACCGCATCAAACTCGGCGCCTGGCGGCCGCGGGTGCAAACTGATCGCTGCTTTGGCTGCCAGATCCGCCCGCCAATTTGCCCGGCCGATCCCCCTCTCGGGGGCCGGGGGCGCATGAATTACACTCAGCTCTCTATGCGCTGGGGTGAAAGCAGCTGGGGCATACGTATTATTGACCATGTGCTGCAGCGCTCCTCTGCGAAGGCCCGAGTACTTGTGTTTGTGACTGAGCCGTTGAGGAGAAGTACTGTTGTGTAATCGTGCAGCATTCATACAGTCGCGATAGCACGCTTCACCATGCCTCGGCACGAAAATGGGCAAGCTACTCCTCGGCTGCAACTGCTCGGCTGCCTGGCTCGCCTGCGGAAGTGGAGGCCAGACAGCGCCCATAGCCGTCGCCACCTGCTGCCCTTCGGGTCCGATGAAAACCCGCGAGTACGCTGCCTTGGAGAGCTCTGAGATAACATGGGGAACGCAGGGCCCGTCTCCAGAAACGCTCCACCCAGCGGTGCCGAAATCGTTCCAGGATAAGGGCGAGCCGTCCGCGGCGAACAGCTTGGGCCCGTGCTCGTCGCTGAGCGGCGGCCACGAGCTAGCAGGGCGGCGAAACTTGAGTCCTGTATAGAACTCGCTGGGACCATCCTGCGCCTGCCGGCGAACAAATCACTGGCCTCAACGGCCGGACTACCCACGCAGGGGTGCAATCCACGCTGCAGCGAGTCGGGCAGGTTGCAGAGCGGGCACAATCCCCACGATAAATAAACAGCCTCGACAGCGCAATCCTCGCACCAGCAACCATTACAGAACATGGACCTGACCATGTACTTACCATGAGCGTTGAGCCCAATCCCCTTACCCGACGCCTGAGTGATGCGACGGATCGACTCAACACACGCACGCCCCCCTTCCCCCCATCCGATTTTGGCGGCCAGGGACCTCTCATGATGCCTCTGGACTCCTTCGCATAGGAGGGCCCCTAACATAGCAGGGGGGTTGCATAACAACGACAGCTCGTTTCCCGTGTCATCTTTCCACAAAAGCGGTCCCAGGGCATTCCAACCAATACGCTGGGGCGACAGAAACATGCGACTAATGGGGCCCGTCGAGTTCTTCCACCTGAGACCGTCCCTCGGCACCGCCAACCACATGTTGCACAGCTCGGGAATCGAAGAAGGCGAGCGCAGGCTTAGTTGTCGCTTGCCGAACGGCAGAGGCCCATGCTGAGGCAGGCGCAACCATGCCGCGCCAAACTGGGTCACCGTGCAGCGCAGTCTTCGCCTGAACCGACACTCCCGCATGCGCAGGCGAAGAGAAAGACAACATAACCGACCTGATCTTTTATTCAGTTCAGCGTCGGTGCAGCCCGTGGCCGTATCCCCGAAAGACACCGCGGGGCGGACTCCAGCCGTGTAGATTTGTCCAATCCTACCTTCGTCCCTGGGGAGG